AAAGTATTTTGTAAAAAGATGTAATTTCTAAAATGACAAATGAAACTAAATGTGTGGTGCAAGTTTGAACAGCTTTGCTCCTCGCATCCGAGTGCTTGTTCCTCAGACACGTGTAAAGTATCTGCATGTATGTGTAGAGAACTGAGCCTAAAGCCAGAGTTTGCACCACAGCTGTCAAAAACAGCCCATAGATGTTATTTATGCTGGTGTCAGAGCAGACAAGTGCAACAAGAGAAGGATTATCACAGTAAATATTAGATATTAGTGATCGACATCGAGGCAACCGCACAACCAAGAACAAAAGAACGGTTATCAGAATAAAATCCACAGACCAAAGCAGTATGATCATTATCATTAAGTAAGAATTAGTCATGATAGAATTGTACATTAAAGGTAAGCATATTGCAACATACCTATCATATGCCATTGCTGTCAGTATCAACACAGAGCCTACAGCCCAAAGGTGAACAAAGAAAGCCTGGGTGACACAGGCCGGATAACTTATTGACCTGGAATCAAGCAAAATTTCTTTCATTAATTGAGGAAGGAAGGCAGTGGCCCCAATTAGATCATTGACAGGCATATTGACAAACAGAATGTACATGGGTTGATACAGCTTTTTATCCCTTGCAATTGTGAGAAGGATGACTGAATTACTCAAAACAATGATGCAGTAACTTAGCATTCCCAGACAAAATGCTGGATAGACAACATTGGGAGGGATATTTAATTTTTCCAGGGACAACATAGATGAGCTGTTGAAGGAGATGTTATCCATGTGAATATAGTTGCAGGAATATTTTTTGTAGAAGCTGGGAAGGAAGACAAGAAGTCTGAATTTAATTTTGAAGCATACATTTATTTTTCATAAATACTGTATTTGTAAGCATTTAGATAATTTTCTATTGATTTTAAGTCATATTCTGAGTATGAAAATACAAAAATAAGGAAAACAAGGATAGAAGTATCTTAAGTAATACAATTTTCTTGTCAGGGCTACTTAATGTCTAAGGATATGATCAACCTATTTTCCACAACATCTTTGTTTTTGTAATATGTGAATACATTCTAAAATATTCTCATATACCTTTAATGCGAAGAGCAGTTGTAAATCTTGACTTCTCTGGCCTCTAATACAGTGTTGTTTGCTCAACAACATTGATTTTTTTGTTGTCATAAACTTGGTAGGATCCTGTATTTTTAAAGAAGATCCTGTATGTAAGTTAAAGAAGCAGACAGCTAAAAAGAAAACTTACTGTATAGCAAGTCTGTAGGCACATACCTGTATTGAAGGTATTTTTTCCCAGCTTTACTGCAGGCCTTGGAACAACAAGAGCTACTGGAATTCAAAATCAGGAACTGTTAATTCCAACACATGCATGTTCTCTGATGACATGTTTAAAAGCATTACCTTAGAAAACAGCCCGATTTCAACTGCTTTTGTTAAGCAAGGTTGTTTGTAACTGTGTGACTACGGAGCAAGAATACACTTATTGCTGCAGGTAACTAGTTATTTTGATAAACAGTATAAACATAAACAGTATGATATTCCTTGTGGATGTCTATGAAAAAATTGAGCACGTTTTTTTTTACTTAATCTTTAAAAATAGCTTTTTTTGTTCTTTTGTATTTTAGTAATCAAAATTTAATCTAACAGTACTTGAATTACCCATAAACAAAGTGTTAACGTATTTGGATTGTTTGCATATTACTTACTTCACCGTTTATGGTTTCATTAAATGAATTGCCAGATGAAGCTTCATTTGAAGATTAAGAGGCTAAAGATCTGTTGAGTCTCAGCAGATGTATTTAATTTCCCATAAAGACCATACGTCACATCTTTAGGGAATTAAAAAAAGGTGTACAGTATGAGAATGATACAGTATATAGATGTTTATAATTAACTACCAAAGGATGCTAAGCAATGATTACAAATAATTCTCAGACAATTATTTCTTTATATGCGGTTAAACAGAATGTATTTATCTTGAGAAGATCAGTGAAGTGTCTGCTGTTTAGCATTTGGTGATTTATGCTAAAATATTTATTTCAAATTCTGTATTTACTGTATAGGAAGAAATGATTACAGGAATACACTTCGTTTTCCTGTTTTATTTCATGCTTATATTTTTGCTACATTTTAGCTTTTTCTACATAGGAAACTTGTATGAAATCCTCTTTGTGCCTTCAGACTTTAATTTTAACTCAAAATGTACAAAGTGTATTTCAAATATCTATTAAAAGGTTTATTAATTTAGATATTATATTAAAATGTTGGTAATGTAAGATGTAGACTAAAAGGTTAGTTTACTGAACCCAACAAACTTTCAGAAAGCAAGGCATTGTTCTCTTGTACAGTAGGCCTGGATCAAATATTTTTAATCCACTCTTCATATTGTATCACGTGATGATTGTCAAGCCTTGAATCCAAAGCTAAGCTTGACACAGAAACAGATGTACTGAACCAATACTATCACCAGTATCACCAATGGAGATAAAATTCTGCAGCACACAGTCTTTTATTTCTGTTTTTCATCATCCTGCTTGTCAATATATTACAGATTTCCTAATGCCCTGTTTTATCGGTCATTTTAAAACAATGAGAATATTAACAAATGTGATGAGCCCATTCTGCCAATATACCTCATTTAGTTTTAATATCTAATCCATCTGACCATTCCATCCAGCCATTTTTGACATCAAAAGAGTACCAGCTTCAGATTATGCACTTTGGTAGCCTTTTTCTCACTTCCATAACCTATTGTGTCAAAAAGTGGAAAGTGCACTCTGAAAGTATAATGAGTATATTTTATGTATAATAGTATAGATAGTCTTAAGTGTATATCCTTAAGTGAGAACATGAAACTCCATAACTACAAAATCCCTCAATATTTTGCTAAATACACAAACACCTTGCTTAAATATTTAGGTATTTTGTGAGATCCCTGGTTTCTTTTTCTCATTATACCATACAGACAGCATTTGCATTTAGCACTAGAACTACCACAGTGGTTATATTTGTCATTTGTGCTTGTTTCAAATTTCATTTACCCCCATATACAGTAGCATTGGTTGAAAGGTGCTCACTCCAGGTCAGATACAATTATGTACTGTTCTTTCTCCTGGTAAGGGTCCTGGCAAACTTAAACCCACCCCACAATCATACAGGGTACACTAGGACACCACCCTGTACAGTAAATCAGTACTCCACAGGTCACATACATACAGTACACATTCAAGCACACGGGGACACATTAAAGACACTAATTAACCGGTCCAAAATGTTTTTGGAAGCTGAGAGGAAAACAAATCACCCAGAAAAAAACCTGTATGAAAGTGAATTCACCTTTGTAAACAATTATTTGCATTTGTAATTTTTTCATCTCTAAATTGAGAATCACTAATGGTTTCTTTTCATCTCACCTCACAACAGCTACTGTTGCTCTGCAAGAGGAGTGTGAGTAATAGCAGATATTCTCCTCTTGAGATACCCAGACATCAACTCATTAAGCTTTAAGACACACTATGAACTAACTCCACAGTGTATTGCAGGTGTTAGAGTGCATTGTGATTCTAGTGCAAGTACAATATATTTTCAAATAAATCTTAAAATGTTAGGATTGAAGTGATGTTAATCTTTTACAAGTGGCTTTTCATGGGATGAGCCCCTATAAACATGCTGTGTAACATTTTAAAAATGTAGGATTGCCTGGGCTTGTTAGACTTCTTTGCATAGTGAAAAACACCTTAAGAATAAAGGAAGCGAAAAATATTTTTATTCAGCCTGACATTTAAATACCTTGCAAAATTAAAGACTGCAGTGCATAAAAACATCATTTTATTGTAAGTTAATAAATTGCAATAAAACAATGACACAATAATTAAAAAAGAACAAAAAAGTGAAATCTTCCATATCATTTTATTACCCACAAATATGTTTTATCATTAATTTTTAAGAATATTAAATTGGACAAAGATACAATCCAGCATGGTTGTAAACATGTTTAATAGATTTTTCTTTTGTCAATATTTTTAAACACTGTTAACTCTTCCTGGAAGGTGCAGTTCCCATAAATAAGTTTTGATGATCTATTTCAAATAGAGGAGCAATTACTGTAAACAATCCTCCTTTATTTAAAAAACAGTTAAGTGTTGTCTTGTTCTTCAATGGATTTCTAATATTTTTGTTTGTTTTTTACTGTACTTACTTTAAAATATGTAAACTGTATCTATTCACAGGTAATCAGCTGGGCCGCCTACCTTTAAATCTGAAAATAATAATAGAAGAAAAAACAGCTTTTCCATTTTCTAAAAATGTATTCTCATATTAAACTTCAAAGACTTCAATTGTAATCCCTTTATGTAATGACTTATCACCAATGGGCTATAAAAAATTAAAATTTAAGACCAATATTAGCAACGTAGTGCTATCTTGTACAAAGACACCAATGGCAAATATATGTATACATATAATGTACATACTTTATATGCAGTTCAGGTGGGTAGCTGCGTCAGCATGCAAAGGCTGCAAAGGAAGAAGCAATAGGTTTATTCCATGCTGAAAAGAAAACACAATGTTTCTGCCGTGGAGCCTTCTTCCGGTCACCTAAAGAAGGCTCCATGGACGAAAAGTTGTTTTTTTCTTCTCTTTTCAGCATGGAATAAACCAATTACTTTTCCTACAGTATGTACAGTATATGTATGGCAGACATGGTCTAAAATACATTGGCAAGCACAAAAGAGAAGGATGCTAATTAAACATGTTTTGTATTTCAGAAAACGTTTGACTGTGCTGTCACCATATACTGTAGGTATAATTAGCTAAATCTTACCATGCAGTTCTTTTCTTCTGTAAGAACAGTCTGTAAATGAATGCCACCATGCAGAATGTGAACAGTGTTTCAAAATGCATTAAAACGTATAAAAGATGAAAGATAAAAGCGGCATGTTTATCGGTCTCCAAAGTTTTTAAGATTATTTCTCAGTCCAGCAAATAGTTTTTAGATGTGTGCCACCTTTCGTCTGAAAATCAATGGTATTCTTGTCCTGATCTCTTTTATTTTCAGGCCATATATAATTGGGTTCAGTGTTGGGGGAAATGTTAAAACTAAGACCCCAACAACCTTTGATATATATGAGGGTGTCTTCTCAAAACGATAGGAAAGTATTTTGTAAAAAGATGTAATTTCTAAAATGACAAATGAAACTAAATGTGTGGTGCAAGTTTGAACAGCTTTGCTCCTCGCATCCGAGTGCTTGTTCCTCAGACATGTGTAAAGTATCTGCATGTATGTGTAGAGAACTGAGCCTAAAGCCAGAGCTTGCACCACAGCTGTCAAAAACAGCCCATAGATGTTATTTATGCTGGTGTCAGAGCAGACAAGTGCAACAAGAGAAGGATTATCACAGTAAATATTAGATATTAGTGATCGACATCGAGGCAACCGCACAACCAAGGACAAAAGAACGGTTATCAGAATAAAATCCACAGACCAAAGCAGTATGATCATTTTCATTAAGTAAGAATTAGTCATGATAGAATTGTACATTAAAGGTAAGCATATTGCAACATACCTATCATATGCCATTGCTGTCAGTATCAACACAGAGCCTACAGCATAAAGGTGAACAAAGAAAGCCTGGGTGACACAGGCCGGGTAACTTATTGACCTGGAATCAAGCAAAATTTCTTTCATTAATTGAGGAAGGAAGGCAGTGGCCCCAATTAGATCATTGACAGGCATATTGAAAAACAGGATGTACATAGGTTGATACAGATTTTTATCCCGTGCAATTGTGAGAAGGATGATTGAATTACACAAAACAATGATGCAATAATTTAGCAATCCCAGAAAAAATGCTGGATAGACAACATTGGGAGGAATATTTAATTTTTCCAGGGACAACATAGATGAGCTGTTGAAGGAGATGTTATCCATGTGAATATAGTTGCAGGAATATTTTTTGTAGAAGCTGGGAAGGAAGGCAAGAAGTCTGAATTTAATTTTGAAGCGTACATTTATTTTTCATAAATATTATATATGTAAGCACTCAGATAATTTTCTATTGATTTTATGTCATATTTTGAGTAAGAAAATACAAAAAATAAGGAAAACAAGGATAAAAGTATCATAAGTAATAAAATAATCTTGTCAGGGCTACTTATGTCTAAGGATATGATCAGCCTATTTTCCACAACATCTTTGTTTTTGTAATATGTGAATACATTCTAAAATATTCTCATATACCTTGAATGCGTAAGAGCAGTTGTAAATCTTGACTTCTCTGGCCTCTCATACAGTGTTGTTTGCTCAACAACATTGAATTTTTTGTTGTCATAGACTTGGCAGCATCCTGTATTTTTGCTTCAAGTTAAAGAAGCAGACAGCTAAAAAGAAACGGTATAGCAAGTCTATAGGAATGCAAGCACATACCTGTATTGAAGGTATTTTTTCCCAGCTTTACTGCAGGCCTTGATAACAACAAGAGCTACTGGAATTCAAAATCAGGAACTGTTAATTCCAACACATGCATGTTCTCTGATGACATGTTTAAAAGCATTAAATTAGAAAACAGCCTGTTTTCAACTGCTTTTGTTAAGCAAGTTTGTTTGTAACTGTGTGACTACAGAGCAAAAATACATTTATTGCTGCACGTAACTATTTTAGTAAACAGTATAAACATAAACAGTATGATATTCCTTGTGGATGTCTATGAAAAAATGGAGCATGCTTTTTAACCTTATCTGTAAAAATTGCTTTTTTTGTTCTTTTGTATTTTAGTAATCAAAATTTAATCTAACAGTACTTGAATTACCCATAAACAAAGTGTTAACGGATTTGGATTGTTTGCATATTACTTACTTCACCGTTTATGGTTTCATTAAATTCATTGCCAGATGAAGCTTCGTTTGAAGATTAAGCAGCTTAAGATCTGTTGAGTCTCAGCAGATGTATTTAATTTCTCATAAAGACCATACGTCACATCTTTAGGGAATTAAAAAGAGGTGTATGAGAATTATATATAGTTATAATTAACTACCAAAGGAGGCTAAACAATAATTACAAATACTCCTCAGAAAATTATTTATTTCTATGGTGTTGCGTCCCAGTGTGTGTCCGTGTTTTTTTTTTTTCTGCTTCCTGTATTCAGGTACCCCCCACCCCATTGGTCCATCACTACACCATCACTGCAGTTGTGACATCATCATCATCATCAAATCCCAGCCAATCAGGAACCAGTCCTCAAAGTTCAGAAACCTGAAGGAGTTTTGACTCCGTTTGCTCCGGTTCAACTTAGAATGCTCATTGCTTGTGCTTTTGCTTTTTGTTTTTGCCTCATTAATTTTTGTTTGTTTATGCTTGTATTACCTTTCCCACACTTGTTACTTTCCTTTTTTACCTTGCTTGTGCTCATTTGTTACCTTATTCCTTGCTTGTGTATTTTCTTCTGTATTACCCATTTTCCCATATTCGTGCAATTGGTTCAGTCGTGTCGTGTTATTGTTAACTGTGAACTTCACAAGAAATCACATTTGCACAAACTTTTGCTGTCGCGCTTCCTAAATCCATCACAGAAACCCAACTGCATCCAAACCCATCCTAAATGTTACACCCCTGATGTAGGTGATGACCTACTCTGCCTCAGGTCCCTCTTGAGCCAGCACTGCCCTAGTGCCCACGTCACTCGTGTCTGTATCTAGCACTAGGGGCTGGTCAGTAAGGGATAGACCAGGACTGGGGACTAGGTGAGAGCTTGCCTGAGGGCTCTCAAGGCCTCCTTGCACACTTCCAATGACCTGAAGGGGATCCTCTTACTCATAAGCTGGTGCAGCAGGGCAGCCAAGTCTGCAAACCTCTAAACAAGCTTGAAATAATAGAACACCAGGTCTAGAACCCCCTTAAAGCCCCTTCACTGTGCTGGGGTGCAGCCAGGTCATCACCGCTCTCGTCTTCTCTTGATTAGTGGAGACCCCCCAGTGACTCACTGTATGTTCCAGAAATAGAGTCTCAGTCTGCGGGAGGCTAAACTTCTTTGGATTCAGCTTCAGCCTCCCGGGTACACCTGAACACCAGCCACAGGCTTGCTAGGGCTTTGTCGAGACCAACGA